TATATTCAGCGTTGAGGTTGCAGGGGTGGGGGTGGTTAGAGAAATAAATACCCCTTTTAGATGGAGAGAAATATTAATATTGTAATATCATTCATTAGTCAAACTGTATTACATTTTTTTGAAAAACACATCGACAAAAATTAATAGTCTTATTAAACATAAAAAGAAATCTATATATTACAGTGGTAATTTTTACATCTGAACGTCCTGTGAGAAGCTGACTTCTGGTTCTAGCACTTCTGTCTTTAACGTGTACTGTAATCAGTCCCTCAAATTCTTACCGTATCTCTTGATACGACTATTTCCTCGATCCAGCAACAACATGGACGCGGCCATTTTTGTTTAAAGGTGCATGGACAATGGATTAAAGTTTTAATATTTTTCATTGATACACAACAAGATTGCCACTTTTCCTAAGTATTAAGAATAAAAGAAAAAAATTGTGAGAGTGCAAGAATATGTCAATCAAACCCATCCAAAAATTTGAGGTTTCAATAACTTTAAGATGAAATAAAAGTTTTTATATATTTTTGTGTGAAATGCTATTAAAATATATAAGTCGTGATATTATACAGGAAATATTAACTTCAAATCTGTGTCCATGCACCTTTAAGATAGACTTAAGGGTCCTCCACACACCCACAGCTTATGTTCTCATATTATTGAGCATTACTTTTAACAAGCATATCAACTTTTAAAAAGTGTCCAGGGATTAAAACGTAATTTAAACTGATTTTTTGAAATGATTATTTCACAAGTTTCCAGGAATTTTTCCCAAAGCGTTTTCATACCTAGCACAAAAAATTTTGTCTTACCCTTTCGTATATTTATAAGCTTACAGAATAATCATAAAAACTTAATTTTATCGATCAACATATTTTTTACAGAAATTTATTTTATATATAAAAAGTACATAAAACTCATTTTCTCTGAAATACATCTCTAGAAAAATCAACAAGGACTCCTTTTGTAGATAAGAAACATTAATGAATTAGATTACATCAAAAAATTGAATTAAAATTGAATCCACTGATGTAGAAAAAACATTTTCAAAATCTCTGGTATCAAAGTTCCTTTTTGGAGTTATCTTTCCTGTTGCTCGGGACTCAAAAACTTTGGCAAGTCTCCGCTTACGTCACCATACTATATTTAGTAATATACTGGCCACTGAACTGGACAAAAATAAAAGAGGAAAACTTGAAACGCACACTATTTTATCAATATTTATAAACACACAATGAGATAATGTATTATTGAAACTTACAAATTAGTGCCCAGTCAGCATCAATATGTTGGCCCAATGTAATGCCAACAATATTCATTTTGTTGGCCCAACGTTGCATACCAATGTTGGTTCAATGTTTAAGTGCAAAGTGGGCTCACGTTGGGCCAACGTATTGGCTTTACGTTGGCCCAAAATTAGACGCCGATTGCATGGATGTTGGCCCAACCTTGGATATATGTTGGGCCTACGTACTAGACTACAAATATTGGTCTTATGTTGGCCCATTATGTCTTTTACATTGGCCCAATGTGTCTTTTACGTTGGCTTAGAGTTTCTTTTACATTGGCCCGGCGTTCCTCTAGCTTACATCGGCCCATTGTTTCTCTGATGTTGGCCCGATGTTATTTTCACATTTGCTCAACGTCTTTTGTACGTTGGCCCAGAGTTTGTTTTACGTTGACCCAGTGTTCTCAACCAATGACTCATATTTGTAATTTCCAGTAAGTGAAAGAAATAACAAGAATAAGATAATTTGACGTTAGATACGGTTTAATAATTAAATCAATTTAAATGAATTAAAAACACTAAATCAAAAATTAAAATTAAAAACTAAATTAAAGTCAAAGGGTAATAATGATAATTCACCAGATACCAAAAAATTCAAAGTCATTTCAAGGCCATTCATCGGTTGGTCTCCTATTCTGCTGCCGTTTTTTGTTTCCTCTCCTTCCTACCCCCATCCCTATCGCAAGAGTATCGTAACGTGTCCTTTTCAGCATCTTCGATATCTTTGTCTTTTGCATCTTTGCAACATCCATTCTTTCTCACAGTTACTGTCAAAATAAGATATTGTGATTTTATTTGTTATGTGAAAAAAAAATTGTTTTTAATTACTTAAAACTGCACACTACAGAGATCTACTTTGTAGGGTAGTTTTATGTCACTAAAGTGATTTGCCCTTAGAAGTAAGATAGAAAAATATTGTTTCGGTATTTACACAATTTATGTTGGATTAAAATATTCGAAACATTATATTACACAAACTTAGATAAACTTATGTACAAATTAAAATACAAATGTGTTTTTGGTTTACTTTACTTGCAATCATTTTGATGACAAGATATTTGTGCAACATTATGTCAAAAGTATGAAAAAATTGTAATCTTAGCTCAATAAATTAATGTGACTTTGATGCATTACCCTTGACACATGTCTGATCTTTGACAATTATATTTTTCATTTTAACTAAATTTGTAAGTTGTCAATCCACACACATACAAACAAACAAACCAAGATCAGTATATCTTGGTAGTATAAAATAATATTTTAAAGATATGTAAAAAAAAAAAAAATACTCACACAGCTACACATCTTTCAATGAGAAAAAGGAAAATGCTCTCTTAATTATCATCCCTCCCTAGCCAGTTCGTTTTCTTTGCACCACCAGTGTCTATCATTGAACTCATAATTCTCCGTACACTTTGTTTCGTATTGTCACCTCTAATCGTTCCCCGTTTTCTTACCTAAAAAGTACAATGTGATTTTTTAAATGCTTAATGATATTATCATAGCTCTTCAATAAATATTTCAACTATTTTTATTCGTGCTGTTTATAATGGGTCGGTTTAATGTCATATGATTGTTCACAAAATTAATCAAAGTACTGAAAGTACTGAAAGCCGGGCTTAAGAACAGCACACAGGTGAAAAGAACAGGTTTCAGTTAAAGTATGAATGATATAAGGAATTATTAGATGCAGCGAATGAAAAAGCATCATTAAATTTTATATAAGAACAATAGGTTTAACTTTGATGAAGTATAAGGGTGATTTTATCTTTTTATTTTTGAGCTTTATATACTTGTTCTTTATTGTTATTGAGCATTTTTTTTTCTTGCCTTATGCCATGGCGTCAGGCACTACTAAGGATCAATATTTCCTACGTCTGAAGCTAAGAGGTCACAGTTAGCCAGCAAAATTTTGTGCATGCTGATTATCATCGAATTTTGTTACCTGCGTTTCAACAACAACAGTTAGCAGAAAAATGATCATATTACTGATAGACTGAGGATGTATTTAAACATGCATACAATCGCAATATGTCGTCCCCAACTTCGTTCTAGACTAGAAAGTCTGCTATTGCAAGCAATAGCGTATGTTTCCCGAACTGGAGAATTTTCATTTTGTCATCAGTAATACTATGCCCATTAGCTAAGCTTGGACAACCATCAACTCGTATCAGTCCTTTCGGTACTTTGATTTTAAAATCGGAGCTAAGCGCATGTGCATGCATATGCAAGTTATAAATCCCATCCTGTTTGGTTCAAAACTAGAGTAGTTAGAGCCATTTAAAGTTTTAGCCAATCAGATTGCAGTGCACATGCATGCACATGTTTTCATGATTATTGTTATATATCATATTGTTGTAATGCATCACTTGTCGTAATGCATGACTTATTTAAAATTTCAATGTATTTCATCAAAAAAGAAAGAGATATTAAAATTTTTGTTTCAGCCAATCAGAGCAAAGTGCACGTGCATGCACATCATTTCGTGCTAATCTGACAATGTCATATTATCTACACTATTAATATATCCTTATATAATATCCTTATGAAATGAGCATTTCATCAAAAAAGTGTAAAAGTTAAAGCAATATTCAGTATACAAGTCATTTAATGTTGCACGCATCCGCACGTAAATGCGTATGCACACAAAATGACCTTTGTTCCATACATCTACACAACATGCCTATTAGCCTTAAAAAGGTTTTAGCTCAATTGGATGGACATTTTTCTAGAACTCAAACTTGGACAACCATCAAACCTATCTGTACTTTCAGTACTTTGATTTAAAAATCGAAGTTCAAGAATTTTGACTTTTCCCCCCTTTCCATGGAAACTAATAAAAGCTTCGAATTTTTAAATCCAATGAGCACAATTAAAGAACCTAATCATTACATCCACAAAATTTCATGACGAATGTGCAAGGGTCTATGCCTACAAGTTTTGGGGATTTTAGTTCATGTAGAATAGTACTTGATGCAACAGAAATCACCCAGGATGTTCCAGGGAATGATACGAGATTGCAGGCCAGCACATACAGCGGATACAAAAATTCTCACACTGTTAAAAGTGTTACAGGTGTTGCACCTAATGGTGCTTTGGTATTTATTACTAAATTGCACCCTGGCAGCACATCTGATGTTGCAATTGTAGAACATTGTAAAGTCTTAGAACAGTTATCTCCAGGTGATATGATCTTAGCAGACAAAGGGTTCACTATTCACAAGTTGTTGCCCCCAAGGAGTACATCTAAATATTCCTCCCTTTCCAGTGAGGTCCAACTATGTCGAAGAATTGCTAAGTCACGCATACATATTGAAAGAGCAAATGAGCGTATTAAGAATTATGAAATTTCAAGGCATGTTCCGCAGCAATTTAGATATATTTCTACAAAAGTCTTTCAATTATGCTGTGTTTTAGTCAATTTTCAGGATCCCCTTATGCAGGAAATTGCTCAGAATTTTGCAAGTGTAGATAACTAAGATATTAAAATTAAAATGTTTTCACCATGTTTAATGTTATATCTTATAGCTGTTGTAAATACGGGAGAAATTTACAGAAATAAAAGTCTGTCAAAACAGATATGTTGATCTCCCAATTGATGTCTTTGTTAATTCTCACAATCGCACAGTCTTTTGGTGTCCAGACCATAAAATCACACAAGGATTTCCCAATTATATGAAGCTGTCCTTGCACTTGATCATAGTACATTGTATTGGTGGTTCTCTCATAGCTTGAAGGACTTGACTCCATTAAAATCCTGAACCTCTATATGAAAAAAATATATATGTTGAAGATTTTTAAAGAAAAAGAATTTTCATTGGTGCCTCAATCATTAATATAAGACAAAACTATTTAACTAATAAATATTCACATGTATAAGTATTTTGTTCCTTACTGTACAATAAAGTGAGAAGGCAAATCATCTGCCTTGAGGACTAACATTACAACAGAAGGAAAAAACTTTTTTAACAATTGCTAAATTGTACTTAAATTTATCCAAACTAATATATTGGAATTATTTAAAGTAATATCTCAGTACATGAAACGTATTCAAACAAATACATACACACTATTATTACCTAGGCAGAAATCGTGTACTTTTTCAATAGCTTCTGGAATTGTCATATTCTTTGCTGAAAAGGGGCATTTCACCTCCAGTATTTCTGGCTTAACGTTTGACATCTCTAATATGTCAGCGAGTCCTGGATTCTGATAGCTGAATCCGAATGCAGCAGGACGACGAATGAGTCCATCCGGGCTTGACCCAAGAACCCCATTACAGTGTAGCCAGATACCTAATATGAACAGTATTATAAAGTTTCAAAATAGCATTAATATGCAACACTCTGATTTTCTTATGCATTGATGACTTGTTATAAATAGAATATACAAACAGTATATTTATATTCATATCTTCAACTTCAGTTTAATAACTGAATTTTAAATAAATTAGCTCAAGAAAATTTTTTATTTATCATCAATTTTTATTTGCTTTAAAGAAATTGAAATTTTGCTTAGGAAAGAAATGTACCAACCTATTGGCTCTACAACTGCATCCCCAAAAGTTCTATACTTTTCAATTGCGACTTTTTCATTGCACGTCCCCCAAATAATGGCATCCTTCTTTGACAGATCATAAGCTGAGCATAATCTTTTGTATAAGGAGACAGGATATCTGTTATATAAGGAGCAAACTTTCAATATTTTTGATTTTATAATTAACTGCTTTTACAAGTATCATTTATAATTACATATACATATAAAGGCATGTAAACTACCAGTATACCTATTTCTCTTGATCGCTGCCAAAACACAACCAAAGTTTGAAGCTGTTGATCTTTTCTTCCTAACAGATGACCACATGCAATTTTCCTTTTGACCAGTGGTAAGACAGGCAATCTAAAACATGACAAAAATCTTAAAACTTAAACAACATTCATAATGAAACAGAATACATTCTATTCATTATGCAACTCATTTGTCTTTACCTGTTGGATTTCTTGCTCATTTATCATTAATTTTTGCTTCATCCGAGCAATTGGATTCTCTGCAGAAATAAATTCCTGGCTAGAGATGAGGTCTTCAACTAGAGGCACTGCAAGTGTGGGCACAGGCGGCTCGGGGGATAGTATCCAATGCATTGCTGTTGATTTAATTAAACAAAAAATTAAACCCTCAGTGAAAAAGACAACAAATACTCAATAAACCTGTATTGCAGTTAAATCACCAATTCTTAATACTGGTATATATGTTAAATATTTTTTCAAACTTATTTTATTTACTACTTCAAATAAATTTTGGATTTCAATATGTATACATGTGAAAAGAATGTACAAATAACTTCCTTTAAGTATGTATGAGAAATAGGGTGAATAATATTTAAACATTTTACTAAAGGTTGCAGTTGAGTTGAAGTTTTATATTACGTCACGATCTTCTAGTTTGACAGATGCGTTCAAGGTAAATAGTATACGCCTCCTAACCGCAAGCTTTACGACTGGAACTTTCTTCTAATCCCTGATTGTTTGCTTGTACAACAAACTATTTCTGTGTCAAGGTTGATAATATGAGTTTATCAATCACATGAATTGTTTACGCTGAATGCATCTGTCAAAAAAGATTGTGACTTGATGCAAAACTTCACACTGAATTGAAATTGATAGTATAAATGTATAATTAAAAGTTTAAAACAAAGTCAACACAAAAACAAAAGAGACAAGAACAAAACTAAACATGTAAAAGACAAAAAAAGCAAAAAGAATGGAAAGACTGCACATCTTGTCAGAATTTCAGTCCAATGTCAAATAAGCCATTAAATATCTGAAGTCCAAAGTCCGGGTATAATGAGTTAGTTAGGTGTTTTGTGAATTTATATATATATATATATACATGTGTGTATATGCATTCTATCCTATCACAGTATAAATTTTCAAAAAAGTAACAATAGAATTAACTGGTAAACAATGTGACACTAAAATAAAACACCAGATATATTAACCTGAAAATCTCGATCCTACAGTTGTCAATTTCTGATATAGGAACTCCCTGTCCCTATCATTGACTGGCCTATTTGTTGCCCTAGTAATTTTTGACAAAAGTTGAAAAATGGAGCATAATACAACACTGAATGGTTTTACATATACCATGCTAGCTGCAGATCTGTAGCTTGCTGGTCTGAAAAAATTAGGATGGACGACCAGAGAGATACAGTTCCATCCATTGAAAAAAGTGTATATTGCCCATAAAAAATATGCTATTTCTCTATTTTTTATATTTTCACTTTTGGGGTACTGTCATTTTTTAATATTTTGCACCATTCATGAAACAGTCATAATAAATGCATACCTGTAATTTATAAACCTGTCAGGTGCAGGAAAAAGTTCTTCCATTGTCTTAGTTTGACGAGGTGGCGCACTCTGGATGCTTAATCCAACTCTGGCGTACATCAGTTTTGCTGACATTTTTGTACCTGTATCAACATGTTCCATAAATTTACTAAGTTATATTATAGTCTTGGGGCCTAAAGTTAGATTTTATAGTTACAAGATTGGAAACTAAAACCCATGCAGGGGCTGGAGGGTCTAAATTCATACTTTATAATTGAACAAAATAGAGAAAAGTTACTTCCATTTACAGTTACAACATTTCTTTACATACTCCTATATATTTTTAATTCTTCACATAAAACTGTAAAGCTTTGATTTAGCAGCCATAGGCAGAGGTCTGTATGACATTCATTCAACTCCTTAAAATTTCTTCAGATACTGTTTGGTCATTGGCAAGGCAAAGACTTAAAAAAAAAAAACTTTTCTTTTCTTCCAAAAATCTCAAAGAAATGGGATGAACTTACAGTAACCTGTAGCTCCGGTCTCGCATGGAGGCTTGCACAATTCCCCTTATAAACTGCGCATCTTTGTCATACACAAACTTTGAAACGTGGTCAGATTGTACGGCAGTCTTCGATTTCCGCATAAGTTTCGTTGTACCAGCTGTATAATTTGACCATGGAGAACGCCATACCGCAATCGCGTGTACCTAATACCTTGTGTAATATGGCGTCTTCTTTGTTTATCCCCAGAAACGAAATCTGGCGATGTCTAGGGGGGCACTGTGTAGGCCTAACACCTGCATCATTAGGGACTCCTCGGCTGATTAGGTTTGCCGAATGAGTGGAAAATTTAGCCTGGTACCCTGTCTCACCATTGCCGAGGCAGTGACGCAGAGTAAACGAAGCAAAACAGGGACAGAGAACCAGGCTATGCGTAGGAATTTGTTAAAAGTTCTCTACTAAGAACAAATGTATTTTTGATAACTGCACAATAATAATTACAGTACAGTTTATATTCACATTTAATTAATCAGATTATGAGTATAAATTGTTTCAACAGCGATTACAAGTAGATACACTATATTTCAGAACGTCAGTTTAATTTGGCGACTATTGGGTCAACATCCTGCCTTGAACAGAAAGTTGAACAGGATCCCATAAGCCGGCTATTGCTCTTTGAGCAATAAGCCCGGCTAAAAATGTATCGGACACAGGAATAAGAAATTATAAATGTATTTGGGAATCACACATACTTGGACTTTTCCGGTTAGTATCGGAAAGACCCGAGATCGCTGCACGATTTTATAGGACCTTTTTTGTCTGAGACCTTGTTGAAAGTACAGAATACTGGTCTAAGGGAACTAATATTATACAACTGTAGTATTTATAGCACCATAATTCAAAGTTTGTAGACAAGGAAATAGATTTACATGATAATGATATCACTTATAAAGATTATACATACATGCATGCATGTGTCTCTATCAACAATGATCGCCCCCTCCCCACGTTCCCCCATGCATGTGCAAAAATGGAGCGTTGCGCGCTTTAATGAGTTAATTATTATATATACAGTGTATATATTTTACTTTAAAGGACAAGAGTTTAGATTTATCCCACATATAATAATTAAAACCAAAAATCACATATAATGAGAAAAGAATATGCATATACATGTACAGATCGAATCTGCTACATTGTAGATCAAAATCTGTTCCACTATGTTATGATCATTGATAGAAAATTTCCTTTTAAAATACTCATGCACAAAAAAAATCAGAAATACTCACATTTTGCTTTAACTGCGTCTATCCTCAAACAAAATTCAGTCCTTTGTCTTTGTTCTCTACATCTTGCGCGCGAGGAAGGGTGACCTCTATTTAACTCAAAAACTTAATTTATATGCCCTCCTGGGAGTGACATCTTTCAAAGAGTGGAATAGCACGTACAGCTGCAATGCTAACATTGGCTTTACACTTAATGTGTCTTCTACAATGTTCTTGACCCACATCCAAATATTTCTTTTAAAATCCTTAAATTGATAAGTTTGTATGCAGTATTACTTTTAGGCTTTCACAGGGGAAAACAGTATTTTTTTTAATTTGCAACAATATAAATTCGTGCATATAGCCAAGATATGCATGCAGATGTATTTTCCCCCAATATGATATATAATACGTTAATGATATCCAATAAAACACATGAAGATTTATTTAATATAAAAATTGCACAACATTATGATATATGTGTGTGCATGATACAGGGAGAGAAAGAGAAAATCGTTGGGTATAGTACTTAACACTAGCTTGATATAAACGTTGGGCCAACGTTGGACCAGCTGTGTTAGCCTTATACCTTGGCATAAAAATATAGATATGTACCTGATTAACTAGTGTCTGTTAAGGAAATGTAACTTTTTACCATTAGTACAACAACATTTAATCAATAAATTAATAAACACATATTTAAATGATTTATGCAGTACACATTTGACACAGTGGGTCAAAGTTGGTCCAACTAAAAATGTATAAGTAAGGCACTGAAAAGATTAAGCCAGATAACAAAATTAATGTTATTAACTTATTATAGAATACATTTACATGTAATGTATACTGATCCAGTCACACGTGTGTAGTGTTACATAATCATAAATGATCAACCTTTTAGTAAAATTATCCTCTCAGCTGTAGCAGTATATCTTTGACAAAGATTTGCATTGGGCCAATAATGGTCCACCTACACGAGACCAACCGTTTTATGCTAAGTTTGAAACATTGTGCCAACGTTGTCTTGCCAACGCTGGCCCAATCGTTGTACACCTGAATATGTTCATTACGTTCAGTATTCAATATTGGGCCAACGTAAGCCCAACGATGCAGAACCAATGTTAAAGATAGTAATTTCTGTGAAAATTACATACATCGGGCCAATGTAGGCCCAACAATGTAAAACCAATGTATGTTATCACAACAACTTATGTGAGATTAAGATACATTGGGCCAACATTGGCCCAACAACGAATAACTGACATATGCTGATATTGCCACTAAGAGATAATGTCAAACATTGGCCCAATGTTGGCCCAATCATGTTATACCAACACCAACCTTGACCCAACAGACCGTTACTCTACCAACGTTGGGCCAATATATGAATGCTGACTGGGTGTGCCGAAATTTCAACATGTTCAACTATCAAAAACAGACTCGGTTGATTAGTCTGAAAGTGTAAATAACCTATATACGTTTCTCTTCATACCCAACGGTACCTGTTGTCTATAGGAATTATTATCTTTATTAACATAATCCAAGATGTCTGTTGTTCTTTTATTTAAAAAAAAAATACCGCAATCCTTTTCATCGGTCACTCCGTGATCATCATGCAATGTGTTCATTGTTTACAAACGGTGGTAGGATAATTCGTTCATGTATTTTCTCAATAAAACCGGAAGTAAAAGTATTTTTTCTCTATATACGTCACAGGTCACATGGTGTGGAGGACCCTTAAGATATGTCAAAGGCTGTCGTAACTTTAAGATTATTCTTAAGAACTTTCGTAAGTAAAGATACTTTCGAAAACCCCACTTAGTCTTAAGAATTGTCGTAAGTATATCTTAAGACATTTCATAGTCCTAAGATAGCTTCGTAATCATGCCTGCAGATCTATGGATTTCCTGTCATAAATCTTAAACTAGAAGGCATGTTTACGAAGCTATCTTAGGACTAAGAAACGACTTAGTTATACTTACGACATTTCTTAAGACTATACACATGTAAGTGGGGTTTTTGAAAGTATCCTAACTTAAGAAACTTCTTATGAATGATCTTAAAGTTAAGACAGCTTTTTTACGTATCTTAAGTCTATCTTAAGCAAAAATGACCGCATTACAATCATACGACATTTTTAAACGTGCTAATTTTAGCGATTTCTTTATTTTTATTTTAGCGAGGGTATTCAGGCACACTTAAGGCCGGTATACACGGTAAAATTTTATTATACCGGTATAAGATTTGTATAATAATACAAAATCTTATCGTGTATACACTCTTAATACAGTGTATCATAAGATTTTTCGAATCTTATAAAACTGTATTATGAATATAGAGCAATGCTCTATTTCCTAATACAAGTCTTAACTTACCTTTCACTTTCAACCAATGAAATGTAATGACACTAGGGGTCATCCTATTTTTATCATTACTAAAAAGCACATGGTAAATAATAATGGCCGACTTTACAAGTAAACACATCGAAAAACTTGTGGTTTTATGGGAAGGGGAATAGGACTTGTAGAATATATCAAGCAGTGCAAAGTACGATGATAGATACTGCTATCAGAGACTCATCCTCCTTTATTATTTTGACAAAGAGAGAAT